TTCATCTGGGAATCTCCAAGTAGCAGCCATCTCAGATTGCTTTACAGCTCAGACAGGGTGCCCTGGGCAAAACACGGGTGGGGGCTGACCTTGGCTTGCACCACCCTGGAAACCCTAGGGCCTGCACACCCAGGGGACAGCTACAGACCATGTAGGAGCACCACCACCCTGCCCCTGCATAGCTGATCCTCCCCAGAGGGTGGAGGTTGGTGGTCAGTGGTCACAGCCAGTCCTTGCAGGTGACTGGCCTGGTAAACATCTCCCATTGCAATACCTGCCAACAGCAACCAAGGCTGAACTACAAGAAGAGGGTGTACTCAGCCCACACAGAAGGAGCACCTTGAGTACCCAGCTTGGGTGATAGGGGAGGCTTCGCCACTGGACCCTGTAGTTGGGCCACATTACCAAGACACGGAGTCACAGCAGCTCTACCTAATACATAGAAACAAACACAGGGAGGCTGCCAAAATGAGAAGACAAAAGAAACATGGCCCGAATGAAAGAACAGATCAAAACTCCAGAAAAGGAACCAAATGAAATGCAGATAAGCAATATATCAGCTGCAGAGTTCAAAACACTGTTAATAAGGATGCTCAAGGAACTTAGTGAGGATCTCAGCAGCATAAAAAAGATCCAGTCAGAAATGAAAGATACACTAATTGAAATAAAGAACAATTTACAGGGAAACAACAGTGGAATGGATGAAGCTGAGAATCAAATCAATGATTTAGAATATAAGGAAGCAAAAAAAGAAAAAAAAAAACCAACCACCAATCAGAACAACAAGAAGAAAAAAGAATTCAAAAAAATGAGAATAGTATGAACAGCCTCTGGGACAACTTTAAGAGATTCAACATTTGCCACATAGTAGTGCCAGAAGGAGAAGAGGAAGAGCGAGAAATTGGAAATCTTTGTGAAAAAATAGTGAAAGAAAACTTCCCTATTTTGGTGAAGGAAATAGACATGGAAGTCCAGGAAGCACAGAGAGTCTCAAACAAGACGGATGCAAAGAGGCTCCTTCTAAGATACAGCATTATTAAAAGGCCCTTAAAAGTGAGAGAAAAGAAATTAGTTAACGGAAGGTTACCAGATGGGAGGAGAATGGGTGAAGAGGTGAGGGGATTAAGAAGTACAAATAGGTAGTTACAGAATAGCCATGAGGATGTGAAGTACAGTGTAGGGAATGGAGTAGCCAAAGAACTTATATGCATGGCCCCTGGGCATGAACAACGGCGGGGGGACTGCCTGAGGGAGTGGGGGCTCTATGTGGAGGTGGGTGAAGGGGGGGAAAACCAGGACAACTGTAATAGCATAATCAGTGAATTTTTAAAAAGAATCCCCCCCCAACAAAAAAGTAAAAGGCAGGCTTCTACTTGAGTAGCTAGAGAAATAGCAAGCGTGTCTGGAGTGGAGTGAGTGAGAGGGAGTGTGTGGGAAAAGCTGAGTCCAGAGAGGAAGCAAGAACAGGTCATGTGGGGCCTTGAAGGCTGTAGGTAGGACTTTGATTTTCCTTGATATGAGATGAGAAAGGCCATGCAGACAAACTTTAAGTTGATGGAGTAGGCACATGGAGCAACAGGTTTTGGGGTACAGGAAAATAAAAACAGAATCAGTAATGACAATCTCAATTCAACATGTAGGATGCATCAAAAGAGGGAAACCAGAAAGGCTATCCCGACAGTTCAAGTGCAAGATAAAAGAAATTAGTGGGCAGAGAGAAAGGCAAGAACTACACAAAGATGAAGTTTTCGAAGAAAGCAACAGGATTTACTGGCTTGGTGTGTGATGAGTGTATTTGTACTGTAGCTTTGGAGCTACTGACTTCAGATACAAACAGATGTCCTGTAAGAGGCAAATGAGGCCAAAAGAGCTGTTCCTAAAAGGGAGCCTCAAGAGTTTCAGAACAAAGCTGTTGTTTGTAACTGAAACCATTTTTTGTTTGAAATGGAACCAATCTTTAAAAATAATTAAGGCCAGCCCTGACCAGTGTGGCTTAGTTGGTTGCAAATTGTTCTGCAAAGCAGAAGGTTGCTAGTTCAATTCCTGGTCAGGGCACATGCCTAGGATGCAGGTTCTGTCCCCATTTGGGGCAGGGACAAACGGCAACCAATCAATGTACCTCTTGCACATCGATGTTGCTCTCCTCTTTCTTCCTCCCTTTCCATCTCTAAGAATAAATAAATAAAATCTTTCAAAAATAAAATAAGCCCTGGCTCAGTGGATTGAGTGCCAGCCTGCAAACAAAGGATTGCTAGTTTGATTCCCAATCAGGGCACATGCCTGGATTGCAGGCCAGGTCCCCAGTGGGGGGTGCACAAGGGCAACCACATATTGATGTTTCTCTCCCTCTCTCTCTCTCCCTCCCTTCCCCTCTGTCTAAAAAAATAAAATAATTAAAGACTCTAAAATAATTTCCCCATGCTGAAAAGTAAACACAATTGGTCCTGTTTATCAGCTGACAATTCAACAGTCATGAGTGGGCAGGCAAAGGGGCCCCAGTGTGAGCCTAAGTTCAGTTCTACATATCAGCAAATTTTCTCTTTCTTTCGTGGGTCTAAATAAATAATCAGTTTTAATGGAATGTTCTTTGGGTAGTGCTGTCTACTTACTCAAACACTGTGGTGTCACTACTTTATTGTTTATAGTTTTCTTTTTTATTTATTGATCTTAGAGTGATAGGGAGGTGGGGAGAGAGAAACATCAATTTACTATTCCACTTATTTATGCATTCATTGGTTGATTCTTTTTTTTAAAATCCCCACCCGAGGATATATATGTATTGATTTTAGAGAGACAGAAGAGAGAAACATCAATTTGAGAGAGGAACATTGATAAGTAATCAGTGGACTCCTGTATGCACCCCACCCTGACCAGATCAAACCTGCAACCCAGGTATGTACCATGACCAAGGATGGAACCCCCAACCTTTTGGTGTATGGGGTGACACTCCAACCAAGTAAGTAACCTGGTTAGGGCCATGATTGATTATTGCATGAGCCCTGACTGGGGATTGAACCCTTAACTCTAGCATGCTGTGGCATGCTAACTAACTGAGCTACCCAGCCAGAGTCGGAGGCTCTGAAAATAATGTACAGAACACATGAAACCTATAGTACATATGAAGGGTGCAGATGTGGCAGATGGGTTCTGCTGGTCTGGAAAACAAGGATGAAAAAGTTGAATGTATTACTGACATCAGTTTTGAAAAGTGTATGGTATTGCAGGGTAGATATAGGTAGTTGACCAAAGAAATATCAATACCCTTAACAACTGGTAATAGCACTAACAATTTTTTTATTGATATTTGTGTGACCACATTTTAAGAAGTCAGAGAAGGGTTTGACAATGTGTGGATAAACTAAACTTTAAAAATATGCTGTCTCACCTCAGTTACTTAAACTTAACTTCCTATTGTCCCCGAGGATGAGCAGATGACAAATGCTGCTTTCTTCTTGATATTTTAAAGCTGACTACATTGAAAAAATTAAAAAAAAATTTCAGGGACTTAACTATAATTTTGGGAGGAGTAATAGCAACATAAGGTGAAAGAAATTTTAGAAAAAAACATTGTTTACTTATTAGCAAATTATTTGTATATTTAACCTGATTTAACCACTGAGGTTATTTACTTTTTTAAATGGCTAATCCTGTCTGTCAGTGTTTTTCCCTCTCAACACAGATACTGCTTAAACAGAACAAAGTTCAAAGAAGCTTGATTTGACCAAATCAAACTTCTGTGCCAAGGTCAACAAACCAAGATCATTAGGGAGCTGCATAGAAAAAGAGGAAGAAACGAGTGCAAATTTGAGCCAGTTTAAGCATTTGCCCATTGGAAGAGTCACCCTGATTTTCTGTCTGACCTCAGGAAAGTTGTTTCTCTCTGAGGTCTATTGTCACTTTAAAAGATTGATAAGCTTGTGCTTGTGTATCTTTTTAAGTGCTCTCTGGCTATATGATTTGGGAGTTGGTTATAGGGGCTATATGATGAAAGCAGTTTGAGGGAAAGTGTCATCTTCACCCCGAAGGGGCCTTAATACTTTTGTAACTTGTACAAAGGAATTGTGGAATTCCACACACAGCCAACACGTTTTTAGTAAGGTTCTCAGGCAAATGATAAAATAGGGTTAGGCTAAAATGTAATACTTTTGAATTCTTACTGTCTGCTTTTCAGACTGATAACAGTGATTTAGATCTTGCTCATTTTGTATGTAATCTAACATTTTATAGCAGGCATTTGAAATTAAATTAAGATGTACTTCAGGGATTGTGAAAACTTTGGCATTACATTTTAATCAGCAGTACAAACCTGTAGTCTGAAGGACTTTATCATTAGCTCAGAGCAGGAAAAACCTACCTAGAATGGAGATAGCTAAGTTGATTATTGAGATCATCCATTAACTATACTGACTAATCACTCCAGTTTCTATCTCCCTTTGGCCTCCAAAAAAAAAAAAAAAGTCTGCTCGTCCAGAAAGGAAGTTTGAATACCTTACTGCAAACTCTTAGATGAGGAAATAAAACTGCCATTTAAACATGCTGATTAGTGTGCTGTTAATGAACTTTAGCGTGACTGTGCTATGAATCAGCGAGTTTCACAATTAAAATTACTTCTGAGTTCTCAGGTCAGAAAGCAAAGTCCTCCTCCACGATGACTACACTTATAACACATGTACATAATTAACCACCTCTTTTAAAAAATTCCCTTACAATTTACACCTGGAATATAACTAAACGTGTAATGAAATACTGTGATGAAGATTAATCGGTTCAGCTACTAGAGATACAGTCTCAACAGAGGACGATGACGTCTACAGTCTCAGGCAATCTTCACAAACACCTGAGAGGAACTGTCAGTCCCAGTCCACGAAAGCTGCCAGTGAAGCCCTGATTGCGCTAAGATCCTGACCCTGCCGGCGAGATGACGTTTAGGACTGCGGGGATTTCCATAGCGGTGACACACGCCACTTCCGGCCAGTGGTGAGAGTCAGTGACGTGGCAAGCGAGGCCCGGCACAGTCTGTAGGGCCAGGACACCCGGAGCTGTCAGGTGGCCCCTGGGCAGCCCCGCTGGGACAGCACCGACCGCAGCGGCAGTCGCCAGTCAGGAGCCGGAAGTGCCACGTGTCCTGATTGCGCCTGCGCAGCCGGCGGCTGACAGACACTTCCGGCAGGGGCCTCTGCCCTATCTCAGCCTGGCTGCTTCCTTCCAGCCCTGCGTTCTGGCCCCACGGGCCGACTCCCTACCCTCAGCTCCCAGGCCAACCCGTGGCCGCCAGTGAGCTGGGGACAATGCGGCGCCAGGCCTAGGGCTTGATGCGCTGCCCTCCCTCTTCCCCGCCTTCAGTCCTAAGTCGTTAGTTCTTTCCCTTTGCTTCCAGCAGTCGTCTTTCACCTTTTCGCTTGGCGCTGCCGGCGGATCACGACCATCCCCTTCCAACCCCGATAACCACGGTCGTCATGTCCCAGCCGGGGATACCGGCCTCTAGCGGCGCACTAAGCGGCCTCCAGGCCCAGAACGGAGCCGCCTCGGCCTCGGGGTCTCCCTTCACCAATGGTAGGTGCCGCTCGGGGGCGCAGGGAGGGCGCAGCCTGGGGCCGGGCTCGAGCTGAACCTTGGTTGCTGCCACCGTCTGAGGCCAGAGGAGAGGGTGACCTCCCTACCTGGGTCTGGACCCCGTGGCGGTGGGCGGCTGGGGCCACAGGAGACCCAGGCAAACATGCACCCACAACCCCTGGCTGGTCTTAGCGTTTCATATTTATTTATTTATTCATTTGTTTAGCAGACATGAGCACTTGCTGTAAGCAACACCCTGGATATACCTGGGTGAAAAATAGATTCGGTCCCTTAGTCAAAACTCGCATACAGAGCTCATAGTTGTTTATGTGCCTTCCCACTCCGCGCCACCTCGCCCGTCTTCTAGAGAGCAGAGTTTGGGGGCTGATTCATTTCGATCCCTCTGAGCCTGCAGTGGGATGGGGGTCATAGTCGGTCTGAATTTACGTAGATGAATGAATGATTGTGCTTTCTGGGGATCCCTTAGGGCCTGTTCATCTTTCCCAGAACTTTCCTCGAATTGTTTTTAGGCCACCTGTTAAGTTTTTCTGCTTTGAAAGAACCAAATAGAGGGGAGAATCTCCGGCTTGGTTTCCAGAGGTCTTTACAGCACTTGGGGAGTGACTGGGCACAACTTTCTGAACCTCTGAAAAATGTGCATGTGGCACTATAATTTGTCATTTGGTGTGAGTGTCATAATTATTTACGTCTTCTAGGATTTTAAAAATGGTCCTGCGTTGCGATTTTGTTATACTTGTTATAATAAAGACGGATTGTCTGACAACATCTTTCCAAATTACCAATTTACCTCTAAATTTTTGGTTCATGGGAACAAAACTAGAATAATACTAAAATACTTCAGCTGTCCTTTGGAATCTAAAATTACTGTGAAGTTTGAGAACATAGCCAATGACAAAAATAGCTAATTTACATTATTTTTAGAGAAGACCAATGTCTTTTTGACAAAGAGGGCTCTAAAAGACTTTTAAAAATGTCTGTGAGTGGGCAGAGGCAAGAATAAGTGGGGGTAAGCATTGAAATGGTGTTAAATTGAATCAGTTGTTCTTTCTCAAATTTATGGTAACATTGTGTAAAACTACATTTGTTTTAGACTATTAACATTTATACTGAGGATGAAAACATTTTAAGATAAATGTTTTTATCTTAAAGGTAAGAAAACTTAAGCAAGATGTCATATGGCTATGGCTTTTTCTTATCTATAAATTACAATTTTACATGAGCTTTAAATGGCAAATACAGCAAATATGCTTGTAAGCTTATATGAAAGTATAGGTTTGTTAATTTTGAAATGTCAAAGGAATTTGGCCACTGTGATATGCGGTGGTGGAGATGTCACTATATTGATTTGACGCAATCTAGCAGACATTTGTTGCATACCTTCTAGGTTCCGTCCTTGGGAAAATAAAACCCAAGGTACAGCCTCCTCCTTGTACACACAGGTTGCCCAGAGACAAATGGGACTTCATATAGGGAAGGAAATCATAGAACTGCATAAATACATACCTTTTAAAAGATAAAATTGACAGTCTTTTTATAAGCCCCATTTCTAAAGTTTTTTGTAGAGGTAATCTCAGTAAAATAGCTAATGTCCTAGATTGGATTCCTTTTTTGTACATCCTGGTAATAATAGAGTGCTGATGGGTGGAGAATTGGAAGGGAAGGTATTTTTTTTAAAAGGTGAAAATAAAGTTCAGTACTGGAATGTAGTGTTTTTTTGGTTAACTCTTTCAAGGCAATTACTGTTGTTTAAATATTCTTTTGATTACTCATAAGCTTTCGATTTAATGCAGCTTGCTTTAAATTACATATTATAGTTCAGCTGGATCTTAAGGTATTTTTAGATTATAATCAAAAGACCAAATACAGTAGTCCCCCCTATTCATGGGGGTTACCTTCCAGTGGATGCCTGCAACTGCGCATAGTGCTGAACCCTATATATGCCATGTTTTTTCCTATACATATGTACCTATGATAAAGTTTAATTTATAAATTAGGCACAGTAAGAGATTAACAATAACAACTAGTTATAAAGTAGAACAATTAAACAATATACTGTAATAAGTTACATGAATGTGGTCCATTTGCCAAGGCAGTTAGAAACTGCAGTTTTATTAAATTCATTTTGGTAATATTTATGTAATACTTTCCCATCTAGATTGGGGGTGAGAAGAATATTCTCAACCCTCTCTTCATCCCAGATTCTCATTATATTGTAATTTTATAAAATAATATCTGATTTGCCTCTAAACCGTAAAACCTTTGAGGGCAAGAATATCTGCTTTTGTGCATCATCCTCTCTCTGGTTTCCCTCATGTCCAGCACCTTTAAGGAGTTACTAGTCTTATTGAATGGAAGTTTTAGATTTGGGTATTTTGTAATTTAGGCCACTAAACAGGTATTGATTTATTCATTGTGAGATTGGAGCTCACTTCCAACTTTTTTTTCTGGTGAATTTTTCTGTGAATTTTTGAATAATACTATCAGCAAAAACTCAACAGACTATGTATGTGAGGGAGTTTAGTCATCATTTTAAATGCTAGACTTTTACTCATATATCTGTTTTAGGCATGATAGAAATATAGATCTCTTTTAGTTTCACTATGATGTAAACCATGGTAATGATTGCATATTTACTATAGGAAGTCTTTAGTCAAGATCAAAGCATGCTGTGAATAAAATGGACATGTGGTCTGTAACACTGATTGTTGTGGCTGAGTTCCCTTTAATGTTTTCAGTGCGGCAAGTGACTTTGGACTCCCAGCCTTAATACCATCTGTAACATTAGAACTTGCAGCATAGAGCTACTCTTTTGTCTCTCCTGGTACACTGGAAGCTCCTGGAAGAGAAATGGTAGCAGTAAGAACTAACATTTATTGTTTACTTACTCTATGCCCAGTCACTGTTCTAGGCTGCATTTTATACACCATCTCACTTAATCCTCACTGCAGCCCCATGAGGTTAGAACTGTTGACTCTGGCTGGAGTGTGTCAGTGGCATGACCGCCGGCCTGCCAAATGAAATGTCTTAGGTTTGATTCCTTGTCAAGGCGCTTGCCTGGGTTGCAGGCCTCCCAGCTGGGGGCATGGGAGAGGCAACTTATTGAGGTTTCTCTCCCTCTCTTTCTCCCTCCCTTCCCTTGTCTCTAAAAATAAATGAACAAAATCATTTTTTAAAAAAAGAATTTATGTTTACTGACAAAACTGAGATGAGTGGTCAAGCAACTCGCTCAAGGTCACACAACTAATAACCTAGATTTGTGGAGCCTAGATTTAAACACAGATAGTCTTACTTGACCACTGCTAGTCAATATATCTGGTTATCTCTCAATCCCAGAACCTAGCTCCTTGAATTAGTGCCTGAATCAAGGATCTTTTTGGTTTCTTTATGTGGATACATGTAATTACAGAAAATGTTTGTTGATATTTTTTGAAACTGCCACCTAGCTTATTTGGGTTATAATTAATATATGACCTGACCCTAATTTTTCTTCGCATTTAGTCCATATCTTTGCTGTTTCAACATCACATTTCATAAATATCTTGTAGATCCTGAAATTGACTCTTACCTCTACTTTAATTCCCTCCATTGCTATTTAAAAAACAAAAACAAAACAAAAAACCCTTACCCAAGGACATTTAAAAAAAAAGATTTATTTTATTTTTTTATTTTTAGAGAGGGAGTAGGAGGGGAAAGAGAGGGAAACATCGACTGGTTGCCTCTTGCATGCCCCTGACCAGGGACCTGGCCTGCATCCAGGCATGTGTCCCAACCAGGAATTGAACCAGTGACCTTTTGGTTTGAAGGACGGCACTCAATCCAGTGAGCCACACCAGCCAGGGCTATGACATTTTTAAAGACAGTTTTCTATAGTGAGTCCCAGAAATAGAATGTACAGCACACTATGGTGTTTGACTATATTGAAAATGACTGAGATCAGTGAACTACGTTGACTTGTGTGATTTCGGACAAGTTGCTTAGCTGCTCTAAGCCTCTGGTTTCTCAGGGTACCAGAATCTTTAGATGCTGTATTTTATTTATTAGTATTTGGTAAATCATACATATATAAGCAAAGTATTCTTGGAAAACCTAAGTAGTTAATTTCCCAGAATTTATCCCTCTGATTTGATGTTTTGCAGATCAGTCAGAGATATAATTTATTTATGGTTTCTCTCTTCTTCCCTACTCCATATGTTCCAAGGACTCAAGATGACTGTATAAATGGGTTATATAACATTGAGGGGGTAAAATTTAGAGAAAGTGAAGCCTTTTTAAACCTGTGTATGTGGTAGTATAGTAATTTTGTTTAGCTGTTTCCTGATTATATTGATGAGTAGGATCAGTCTGATGGTATCCAGAATGCTCCCTTGTTTCTGAAGTACAGTTTTAGTCTCTGGTTGGGTGGCTCAGTTGGTTGGAGCATTATTGTACAACAAAAGGTTGCAGGTTCGATTCCCAGTGTGGACACATACCTAGGTTGTGGGTTCGATCCCTGGTTGGGGCATGTCCAGGAAGCAACCAATTGATGGTTCTCTCTCACATTGATGTTTCTCTCTCCCCTTTCCTCTCTCTCTAAAATCAATAAACGTATCCTCGGGTGAGAATTAAAAAAATAAAGTTATTAAAAATAATAATAAAATAAAGTACAGATTTAGCATTCTCATTGGTGGTGCCATTGAATGGTATTCTTTTTCTCACTGGCCAATCTTTTAGTCTGTTTATTTTAAAATGATTCCAGGCCTAGGGTCACTATTTAAATGCTTTAAAACACTTTTCCATTGGATTGCTATGTCACATTTCACATTTTATAAATATGTAGCTTTCTTCAGAGTCTTTAGACAAGGATCAATGAAAAAACCTAATTAAGCCCTGGCCGGGTGGTTCAGTTGGTGGGAGCATCATCCCTTACACACAAAATGTTGCAGGTTCTATTCTGGTCAGGGAACACACGGGTTTCAGGTTTTGGGCTTTTGGTGGGGGTG